GGAAGGATGTGATTGAAAGAGTGTAAAGGTGTTATTTTACATATTTTAAATGATATATTTGCAGACATGAGACATTAAAATCATTCTGATAGAACTCTATAATTTAAAAAAGTAAGAGCTGCATATAAATTTGGTATCTAATAGCAAGGAAATGGTCCTCAAAGTCATGACACAGGATGGTATCATTTGCTGAAGTTGTGGATAGAGCAAGTGTGTGAGCATTTCAAAGTTAGAGGGCAGAAGAAAGAAAAATGAAGCATCAAATAAATAAATAAATAAATAAAGTAGCCAAATAAGTTGGAAGAGAACCTAGGGAGTCAAAGTATCCCTTTGCAATGGTTTGATATGGCTGGTCTAACAAGGGTTCACGTGTTTATGGCCTAGTCTTCACTATGGGAATATGAGAGGTAGCAGAATCTTTAAGAAATGGGGTCTAGTGGGCTGGGGATTTATCTCAGTGGTTTCGTTCCCTACTGCACAAGTGCGAGGACCTGAGTTTGATCCCCGGTACCAAAAAAAAAGAAGGAAAGAAATGGGGCCTGGTGAAATACACTTGGATCAGTAGAGCCCCTGCCCTCAGAAGACATTAAAGTAGTTCTCACCAGAGCAAGTATGTATAGGAATGAGCCTGGCTCTCAATCATTCTCTGACTATGTGTACCATGATGTGATCAAGCTCTTGGACACATTCCTGCCATCTGCCATTAAGTTCCTTACCAGAACCAACCTGTTGCCAGCTCTATCCCCTTGAACCTCCAAAACTATTACCTAAATAATCTGATTTTACTTATAAGGTTAACCATGTTATGGTTTTTTTTTTTAGAGTAATAAAAATGGACTAATAAACCCCTCAAAACAAAAAAGAAGCTATTTCAAGGATTAAATATCTGCATCAAATGTAATGGCTACACCAGAAGCTGCATGAAACTATATATAATTGTGAGTTTGGAAATGTGAACATTATTGGTAAAAAAAGACCTGTGAAGACCTGAAAGCCATTTGATTAGAATGTAGGATATCAGTAGCTTAGACTAGCAGAACACAAGAGGAATCAGGAGGCAGGAAGCAAAGGACAAACCAATGAAATAATCAGTCAAGTATTTTAAACATCAAAAATAGCTATTAGGCAGTATTTCTTTTGATATTTATTCTAAAAAAATTATAGTGGAATGTATGGGTGTGTAAGATGCTATAAACTTTAAAGGAAGTTTATCGTTTGTAATGAGATCTCACATTTTGCTCAGACTGATCCTGAATTTGTGAACTCAAGTATTACCCCCACTTCTCCCAGCAGCAGAGAAAATAGAGTAAGGACTAAATTGGAAGAGAATATAGGAAATAAAGATATCAGCCTGCTGTGGCTTGATTTCTTAGCTAACACTATAGGTATGAAAAACCATGCTCAGCTCTTCTTCTTTTAAAAGATGAGTAAAAAGTAAGAATTAATAGTATTCCAAGAAGATTTAGGCATGAGGCAAACAACTTTACAGTAGAACTGAGAGGTCTCAAATTAACAGCGAGATAAGAAATAGTACAAGGAAGAATTGACTTCTCTTATTTGTGCTGATCTAGGCAGTGACAAAATATTGACCTTGAGACCACAAAACCTGCAATGTCTTCTATGTCTCAATGAAAATTCAGAGAAGTATTATGTAATGTTTATTAGAGAAATAATATAGAAATACTAATATAGAAGTACTATCCTATTATAGAAGTACTAATAGAAGTATTATAGAATAATAGTATTATATTATAATAGAGGTATTATAATTCTATTATATGATAATAGAACTATTATAGAAGTACTATTCTATTATAGAAGTACTAATAGAGAAGTAATATTTCAAAATAAAATTATTACATTTATAATTTCAGGAAAGGTAGGCTCTTATCTTCCCTTCTCCATCAATTTAGGATTCATATTCTGTTAGTCACTTGGGTTTATAATAAACTAACATCAAGTTAAGACAGAGTTTTTAATTTTTTTACCTTAAATCTATATTGGTTGTTTGCAATGTTTCTTACTTACATTGCTTTTTCTACCTTTAGTAAATTAGAGTTCATTTATATATTAAGAATAGGAAATACTAAGGTAAGAAAAATTTTGACTTTTACATATAAAAATAAGCTTCACATTTTTCACAGGCCTTTCTTATGTTGGAAATTATTATGGACTAGGGGAGATTTTTATATAAATAAATGAAATCAAATAGTAACACAAGTTCAGTAAACACAATATAATTTCAGCCAACTTTTCAATATTATTAAGTTAGTAACTATTATTGTCTAAATTACTACTGTCTACAAAATATTAATATACCATATAAAAGTTTTCCATTGTGAACCTACTGTAGATATAAACATATAATCAGGTATCTATAAAGGAAAAATAGTAAGTTGGTGGCGAAACAAAATTTATCTTCATTCTTTACTGATTTAAAAACTGGAAATTATTTATTTAAAGAGAAACAACAGAAAAGAAAGTAAAAGACATGATTACAGTAAAATGGTAAGTATAATTGACTATTTAATAGCAAAAACATCCAAAAAGTAGTTTAGTATCAGAAAAATTTCAGCTTATGTCTTTAAATTTTTCATAGGCTTCTTAAAGAGCATATTTTAGAGAATTGATTTATTATGATTTTGAAACTTATGCTGTTTAATCTCCTCTGGTCTCTTTTTAACATATTAATTATCCAGGAAAAATGTTTTGAACCATAATGCTGAGCAAAACAATATATATCTGAGACTATCCATGGAGTAGTTAAGAATAAAAGTAAAGATCAAGATGAAGCAATTAGCATATTGAGGGGCTCTTATTACCGTATGAAGGGTATCATTTCAAACTGATGGATAACAGATTAAAGAGTATAGAAAGAAGTGGAAAAAATAATGCTAAAGTACAATTCTCTGGTACATATTCCTTTAATGACTAGACTATAATATATATGTATTATATATATATAGAAGGAACACATAGTCAAAGCATATACACACCAGTAGTAGTATACTCTTATACTGTACATGATAGGTTAAATATTTTGCATTAAAGGAAATTACTACATTTGAAAATATTTATACTATTGAAAAATGTCAAAATTATGGAAAATTTTTATGTAAAGTATTTATTTTTTTTGTTTCTCTGACATCCTGAAGCAGCTGAGATCTGAATATAAACAAGAAATTAATTTTAAAGTGAAATAAAAGTATTATAATTATGAAATCCATTATTACAAATTGAACTATGTTTTTCAAAGTACACTATAATTGTTTTATAATTTCTGTATGTGTAAAATTTGTAAAAATGGCTTTATTATCAGGTAAGAATAGATAATGCCTTACACTTAAACAGGGTTTAAATGGTGATAAGCATTTTTCTGTCTTTTGTTTTTAATAAAGAAGACTACCAAAAATATCAAGAAATATCTATTTTAGGTCCAATATAGTGTAGTTTTTTTATTATTTCCAAGCTTTTCAACTATTCATAAAATTGCATATTATCAGCATGGTACAAAAGTGTTGAGAATGAATAAAAACTAGTTTATATACATTGTTATTTTTTCCTAATAGAATTAAGATTATCCTTAATCTCTGTTCTTAAAAGTCAGTATTCACAGTGTTTAGGATCCACCACATATTCTGAGCTATTGAACTGATCCATACTAAAAGGATTATGGAGAGATCGAAAAATAGAAAGGATAGGATGGAAAAAAAAGGAGGAAATGAGGTAATATAAATTTACCAAATTTCTGGCATTTGACTAGGTGGTCTCACATAATAAACTTTTAGTGTTCAGAATTCATTTGCTCAGAAAATATTGTCTCTATTACATGAATAAATGGTGTCATTTAAATTGGTTAAGGTCAAGTTGCTGGACATGGTTTGAAATGAGTATCTGACACAATTCTTTCCACTAGATCAATATATCCCCTTACCACTATAGACTTCAACATTTTTATTTTATTTTAATCTCCACTGTGTTTAACTTTTATTCATCTTTTTCCTTTAACAAAACTGTAATTCTACTACATTAAGAAATGTAAGGGAGGGCAGGGGAAATGGGGAAAAAAATAAAAACCAAGATATATCCCCAGTGATGAATGTCATCATATTGTGTACATAAACTGTACCAATAAACTTAGTGAATAAAAAAAAAATATAAAACATGGTGATCCATATACCCCTCCATCTTGCTGCAATAGTAGGCCTAACCTATCAGATTAAATTCTTCTGTATTTCAAATTTATGAATTAAAAATTTGAAATTAAAAAAAATACAAAGGTATAATTCCTGAAAAGCATATCAAGGATTTTATAGGGGTTTTGTCAATTAAATTGTGTGTGTGTGTGGAGATAATTCAGTTATTGCTGGAGCATTGCTAGTGTCTGTTAATGCAAGATTTTCCTTGTATTTAAATATTTAATTGTTTTACTGTATTTCTTTTATCCCACATTCTTGCATTCGACAGACCCACACTTGTACTGCACAGCGTTTAGCTCAGTGACGAGCTTATAACTGTTATTCTATAAATATTTGTTAAATTAATGAAATTATAAAGGATTACACAAATGTGAAGGAAATTTTAATGTAAAAGCTTCATTTTTTAAATTTTCATTTGCATACATGTTGGATAAAACAAAAGAGGATTAGAACCAGATGCCCAAATAATGATATAATTACATCTTTATGATAATAATTACACAGTTTATTTTAATATGCTGTAATAATGGTTAAAGAGGATGAAATATTATAGTGATTGTTTTAATTACCAACTTGGGTCTTTTGTGGTAGTATTGATTGATTATGCAAAACTAAGTTGTTAAATTAGGGAGAGAAAAATAACATGACTAGAACTCTAATTTTAGAGAAACAACTACAAATAACAATGTCATGTCTCTGGGAGGATATGTTAATAGAATCAAAACCTTTACTTTTAAAACTATGATTTATCATATTTTCCTAAAGAATTGATTATTTTTTTTCCTCATTTATCTTTGGTTGGCGGAGTGGAGAATGAAGCTTAAATAGTTCATAATTTTCCTTCCTATTTATTTTTTACTTAAAAGATTACAGACCATAATAAAATATGTTTCATTGGGTTTTTCACATTAATTATAAATTCCCAACTTCCAGTAGTTTTTGCAAGCTCAGAACAAAATCTTGTATATGGAGATATACGATACTGACATTATGTTTATCTAAATTTGACATCATACAAGATACATTTTTTTCCAATGTTTGATGATAAAGGTCGTTTTTCAAGTGAAGTAAATTTTCACCATTAATGTAAAAATGAACTCTGTAAATAATAGTATCTGTGTATTTAAGGAAAGAAACCTTAGAACCGCTTGGCTTTGCGTCTTGATGATAACCGCCATCTTGGCCACCAGGTGACTTTGGCTTGCGTTCCGAACCCTGCCCCGTAAAGTCCTGAAGAGTCAGCTGAGCATCTGATGCCTGGACTGTTTCTTAACTGACTTCTGATGTGTTAATAGTCTTGGTCAAAGCCCACATACATACCTTTGTCTTGTGTAGTATACAAGCCTCTTCCTCTTATCTCAGAGTCTAGGAATCCTGTGTTGCTACTGGGCGAGATAGGCTTTTATCCCTTCTGTCCATTAAGTTCTTAATAAATTGCATTCTGTGTTAAAAAAAGATTTCATAGTGTCATAGTGACCAGCAGTTAAATTCATATTAACAAATGATATGATCATTTCTCAATAATTTAAGTAAAGCTACCATCAGAGTTTGATACCTATATATACTCTACCCTCACTGATACATCTTCAGATAAGTCACAGAAATCCAGAAATCTCTAGATATTCTCTCTGACCTTTGGAGACTTGCTGTTTTTGTCTCCTTTGGTATTTCTTCCCTTCCTCTCATCTCTAAATATTATAATGTCTAAGCCCATTCTCTGGATGTCGTCTCTTTTCCATGCATATTTATTCCAAAGGGAATACAATTCAGCTTTTCTCCTTTAACTACTATACAAACACGTATGACTTCCAAAGTTATATAGCTTATATTTCTCCTTGAAACCCTGGGCCTTATGCACATAAACATTTATATATTTAATAAATATTGCAAACTTTATATATCTATAATTTACTTTTAATATTCTCTTTATAGGCCTACCTATCTCAGTTAAAAACAATTCCATTCTTCCATCTGTTTGTGCAAAAAAGCTCAGAAAGAACATTGCTGCTTCCAGTTTCAATAATTTCCCACAGCCAATTTATCAATAAGTTCTGTCAATTTTACCTTTAAAAATAACCAACCCAAAATTCTTTTCAAGAAAATATAGATTGGTTATATTTTTTTGCTCATTGCTTATCTTGTGGAATAGCCTGGACATTACATAACATTCAGAGATTGTTATTAAATTTATTAGATGTGACAATTTTATAGTTTTGGTTAAGTAGAAAAATATTATTTTTTTTAAATGCATACTTAATTGCTAAACCATACCACGTGATGGTTTCTCATTGCTACATAAACAAACAAATAAACAGAATGAGTTACAAACTCATTGAAACTTTCCACACACTTAACGTTTCCCTTTGCTTCTTCTTTTTATCCTTTTAGCATATATTTTTTAACTGAGGTCTCTGTTCATTGTCATTGCTCTCTTTCACCAAAATATCAGTTCCAGGACAGATTTTTTAATTTTTTTTGCCTACAAGTGTATTTCCCAAACGTACAAAAATTTTGGATACAAACTACAGTCAAAGAATAAATAAATAAATACATTCTTCTCCCCTCCCACACCTCTGAATTTCCCCAGAGCTTCATTCTTAGATATCTTTACTTCTCCTTACCTATACACTTTCCCAAGTCATTTCATCCATTGCCATGACAACCTTGTACACTCATGAAATCTGATCATATCTCTGTAGAAGCCTCTTTCATTTAACTCTTGTTAAATACCAAATATTTGCTATTTTTAATTCCTTCTCCATTCCATATTGGTATACTTTATCAGCTCAGCCTTCAAAATATATATCAAAACAATTTAACTTTCATTCCCTTCAGAGCTACAAGCCTAATCTAAGCCATCAAGTTTTCTATTCTGGTTTACTATAATAGCCATTTTAACTGGCCCCACCTTTGTCTTTCTATAATTTATTCTCCTCACTGTGGTTGGAGTGATATTTCCTACATGCAAAATAGTCACTGACTATCTGTAACGCTCCAGTGGTACCAAATTTCATGTAAAATAAAATTCATATTTCTTATTATTATCTAAAAGGGCCTATATGAAATACTATTTGTCAGTCTCTGCTGAGAGTCTTTCCCTTTTGACTGTATTCCTGCCAACTTGTTCTCTTGAATCAAATTATTAAAAATTCATGGTTTAAACAGAGTCTAGCAAAGTAGTTTAGTAATCCCAGTTATTTGGAAAGGTGCAGCAGAAGGACTGCAAGTTCAAAGCCAGACAAGATCTTGTCTTAAAATAAAAAAAGTCTTAGGAAGTAGCTCAACCTTCACTAGGTTCAGTCTCAATATTGCCCCCCTCCAAAAAAAGAAGATAAACAGGCTCTGAGAAGTTAAACAATTTCATGAACTTCAATAGCTTTTAAGTAGCAGTCTTTTGCAAATCTTGTGATTCTAAACCAGCATCCTAGCCCTATGACAGCAAGAACAGGTATTCAGAACAAGAATTGGAAAACAAAAAGGCTTGCTTCTATGGATAGAGGATGAACTGATGAGTATTAATGCAGTATAATAGTGCAGAACTGAAGAGGAATGTACCTGAATAAAAATGTATATGTAAGAGGTAGAATAACTAGGACCAAGTAAAATGCTTTAGAGGAAAGATACATGAGATACCACATATAAGAATAATTAAAAACCAAGAGTGAATAATTTTTTCAAAATAGTAGGTAGATGCAGAAAGGAAATTTGGAGGAAGATTTGAGTACCCAGGCTAGTTCAATTACTCTTTATTTACTACTGAATTTAATTATCAAGATCTTAATTGCTTCTGGAATACTGGGTCATAATGAAAGTGACTATAGGATGCATGTCTTTTTTGAAATCTCCCATTGGGCATGCACAGTTTAAAAGTCCTGCAATAGCTTGAGTTCATTCTACATTGCTGCAAAATAAGTTAATCCATTCATTCATTCATTTTAAAATAAAATCCTACAACTAAGTCGGGTACAATTAGGCTACTTAAATTTATCTACATATTATAACCCCTCTTTGTGTTCTCATCTCTCTTCCCATCAAGGATCCCTAAGTAGGCAAAGTGAATTTACACTTGATCTTAGCCAAAAGGCTGAGAAGCGATGGCAAAGTGTATTTAACAGATTTTGTTTAAACTAAGAAAATTTCATGAATTGCTTAACACCAGAAGAGGTTCAGAGAGCTCTGTAAGATATGTGAGCAGACAGACTTCATTTTGGGGTACGTATAGGGTTAATGAAGATTGACCCAGGACTTTTGCACTAAGTTACAACCCTTGTTTATTTTTCATTTTTGAGACAAGTTTTCATTAAGTCACCAAATTGCCCAGAATGGGAATGAACTTGTCATCCTATTGCCTTCGTCTCCCAGAGTGCTGGGATTACAGGTGTGCACCTCCAAGTCCAGCTCAACCAACTGTCATAAACCAGCAAGAAAAGACAGTAGATTCGACTGGTTACAGCCAGACATCCACCTTATTTGGACATGCCATGATGATCCACTTTCTTTACCTGGGCAAAGTCTGATTAGTTGGTTACCTGTGATTGAAATTTAACTGTTTTTTGTTACAAAAATATAATCCTAATTTAGGCATCAGTTTGTTTACATACGAAATTAGATGGTTTTGTTCTCTAAGAACTCAAAAGTATAGAGATAGCCTCAGACAACCTTCTGCTCATTTAGTTTCACAACACAGTAAGAAGCAAAAACATGTCTAAAATATGTAGTGTTAACTTCAGAAAGCAAAATAGAAAGTTAACAACATACAACAAAATAGTGGTAATAGTAAAAAGGAGACAATATAAAAATAAACAAACATTTCAATTAAAATCTTTGTTGTGAGCACTCAACCCTCTACAGAACACATAAATAATATGAATTACTGGTGGAAGCATATCTAAAGGAATATACATCCTAATATATAACTGAGATGATTATTTTTAAATTATAAACATTTTAGCAGATATAGTAATTGCATTTTAATGACTTTTAATCCAAAAAAAATTGAAATAATTCACACTAGATGGTGGCCATCTAAGCCTTTATTTAAGTATGAATTTCTGGATTTTGTTTTTTACCGTCACAAAAAAAGCCTTTTCCTTTTGGGGGGATGTGGGTCAGCAGAGTGCAGGGGAGAACTGAGAATCTCAAAACTGAACTCAGGGCCTTCATGAAGATCTTCGTCGCCAGCCCCTTTTATCTTTTATTTTGAGACAGGATATCACCAAACTGTTCAGTTTAACCTTGGGCTTGTGATGCTCCTGCCTCAGTCTCCTAGAGTGCTGAGATTACAGGGGTGCACATCACATTCAGTTTAAAAGCCTTGCTTTTTAACTATATTTTCAACATATCAGGATGTATCAAAAAGAGCTGAGTAGGGCCAGGGATTTAGCTCAGTGGCACCACACCTGCCTTGCTGTAGTGCAAGGTCCTGAGTTTGATCCTCAGTAACAAAAAAAAAAAAAAAAAAAAAAAAAATTAAAGCGCTGGAGATGGAGTTCAAAAGCCCTGAGTGCAATCTGTAGTACCACCAAAATTTTTTAAAAGTATGATTGATAAAATAGTAAAAGTATAAAGCTTTATTGATAAGTACTAACATAAAAAAAGAGCTGAGTAGGGCCAGGAATTTAGCTCAGTGGTTTCGATGCCTGCTGTGCAACCGCAAAGATCCCAATTCCAATTATAAAAAAAAAAAAAAAAAAAAGAAAGAGCTGAAACAAGACATAGTAGATTTTGAAGCCCAGGTTTAAAACATAGCTGTTTTCAACTTTATTTTTCCTTCTCTATGTCTTTTTGCCTAATAAAGTCTATTGTGAGAGGTTTGTTGTGAGAACTGGTCCAGTGGGTAACTCATACACCACTGTGGGTGCATTTAGTTATGGATATGTGTATGGAAAAACCTACAAGCAATCTCTGGATATGCTGTAGTAGTTAAAGGGATATTTTTTACTGTCTTCAAAATTGTCCTTGTCTACCTTTCTTTCCTCTTCTTCTTCTTCATCATTATATTTTTGATTCATTAAATATTTTTAAGAAGTGCTCGAAAAATTCAGATTAGAGATTGCATATGTTCTTTGCAACCAATAAAGAAAATCTTTAACATCTTCGTTTTATAAATAATACCACTGATGAATTTAAGTAAATTTCCCAAATGTACACAGCTAATATAACTAACACATACATCTTAAACCTGTTTCTTGATTTTAAAATTTTTATAAACTATGAAATCTAAAATAACATAGCAGAACACCTTTTACCAGAAAAAAAGTCATAATATAAGATAAATATATTTTGGGCAGGAATACTTCTCCTTTTCCTTATAAACTGTCCATCCTCTATGTCCTAAATAAACTTTTTACCATCCCTCAGGTTGAATATATTTCAAACTTTTTCCAAAAACATGTTTATTTTATATATTATGTTTCACAAATTATTCCATGCTTATCCACA